AACACGACAGAACCCAAACCGCACAAGCCCACCGACGAACGGAACCGGCACGATATCTTTTCCGGGGTGGTGGTACGAGTGATGGGGTTGGTTTACCGGTGCTGCGGTTTGGTACAGTAAAGTGAAAGAAAGGAATGGGGATGGGGGTGGGGTGGGGGAAGGGGGGTTTTGAGGCTGGGGATCAGCGGTGGAGGTATGACGAGGGTTTCGTGCTCATGGGCTGGACAGACTACGGGTGAGCGGAATCTTCGGGAAGGGTACTTTTTTGAGCGAAGGAACGGGAAAGAATGTAGGGAGAGGAGGCATAAGGGTTGGCGTCCCGAAGTATGAGACGTATAGACTTTGTTCGCTTTGTCAAGTGTACAACAGATTGGCAAAGCTTGCACGACTGGGAGGTATCGATCATATGTGTATGTTCAAGAAGCTATCTAGCATTCTGTAATCCATATGTGTGAAGGTGCGTGAAGTCAGGTACATCTCTGCAATGATTGCAGCAATTGCTGACTCCAGCCGTATTCAGGTTCCTATCTCGTCCTTTCCCCGCCATCCTTTTTCTCGTATCCTTTTTCGCATTTTTGCAACAGACATAAAGAAGCCAAAGCCTGGTATATTGCCAGCAAAGAATCGAATCCGGATGCAGGCTAGCGCTATCCAGGTGTGAGAAAGAATTCTCGGAGAACAAGCTGCCAGAACTGTGGGTCCTGAGCAGGTCTCCGGGACAACGAAGTGAAATTACAATCTTGTAGTGTAGAGACAGTCGATAAAGTCGTAAAGCAGCGAGCCAACCTGGTTTGGAATTGGTGCTGGTAAATAAGTCGTAAAGGGCGTGCAATAGTAACAGTATGGCCGTCTGATTGTGCGAGACGCATCGAAGTGTTCCTTCCATTGCTCGGCTGCCCAGGGATCTACCCGTTGTGAAGGCATAGCCGACGCATCCCCCATTGGCCCCGAAGTCCGAGTATCTGCTTCAGAAGATGGCACTCTTGCGTTTTTCAGCGTTGGTCAACACCAATAGCGGAGCCCTACGTCTGTCGCTCATGTTCTCCTTTTCATCCATCTTTACCTCCACCAACTTCCCCCCAATTGTCATACCGTCCTCACTGCTGAGACTGGCGGTCGTGAAAGGTGTGCCAGTTGAGTTCCTATCGCGCGAGCGTGCCTTGAGTTCCTTCCGCTCGGATCCAATAGGACTGGGTCTGCCTGACAAGCTACCACTTCCGCTAGCAACGCTGTCGCTATCATTGTCGGAGGACGAGATAGAGAACGTAATGTCACACTCGCTCGAAGGTGTTCCAACACTGTCGATCGAGTTGCTGCCACGGGAAAGAGCGCGACGGTCCAAACCAGCACGTACAAGATTGTGCACAGCACGGCGGCGTTGACGAGTGACAAAGTTCTTACTACCCTCATGCTTGGAAGTTGGCTTGTCAACAAGCTCCTCAAGAGATGGGGGACCTCGAGGTTGACGCATGGGGTGATCACCAGCGCGATTTTGACCAGGTCCAAAGGTGCCAGTCATAGGGGTCTGAGGGAATCCCGCCGACTTCGGTACGGCACTCTTCGGTCCCTCCTGTGCGTTCATCACGTTGCCAGTGACTGGGGACAAACCCTTAGCATGACCTCGGCGGAAGGCGTTCGCGGATGGGGGTGGGAGAGGATTCACATCCATTGGTGGGGAGAATGTTGGTTTTGGTGGAGACATCTTTGGCGGCGAGGCGCTCAGGATAGGAGCCGGAAGAATGTTCTCAGGCGGAGGGGTCACTCGGGCACGGAAGGTAGGCGTTGTAGGAGGTGGGGAGTGGCTCAGCTCAGTGTTGGGAGCTTGAGATTGAGGTGGGGTCTGATTTTGAACACTGTTGTCCATGACGTATCCCTGCTGACCAGTCATGGGGTTGTAGACTGTGTACAATCCCGGCGTGCCTGGCACAGGCGAGACAACGGGCTGAAGTCCATTTTGAAGCTGTTGGTTGTAGAAGCCATTGTTGGGAGCCATTGATGACTGATAATACTGCTGTTGCTGGCCCATTCCGCTGTTGAGGCTCATACCCTGCATCTGTTGCTGTGCAGCAGTGAGATCAAGGAGCTGCTGCTGTAAACGCTGCGACTGTTGAGCCAGGTATTGATTTGTGGCCATCAACTCAGCGTAGTACTCCGGGTCTAGGTTCTGATCATCGGATGCACCTCCGAACTGGAGGTTGGGTGGAGCGAGTATCTGCGGGAGGGCATACATCTGGCCATTCCCATTCATTGCATACCGCTGGCTATTGGGAAAGCTACCGCCGACGGCAGTATGCGGCATGCCGCGCCCGTACTGGTTGTTCTCCGGGCTACCTTGTCGGCCGTATGGCTGCTGGACCTGAGCAGGAGGAGCCGAGGTTGGGAAAGTGGGTGACTTTGGAGCGGTCCTCAGTCCCGCCAACAAGTGAGAGCGGCTTGTCCTAGGCCCAGGGTTAACGTTCTGCTGCTGTTCTGAGATGGTGGAGATGCTGGCTGGTGGGGCCATGCTGAGACGTTTGGTGTGTGTTCCTCTCCTAGAGGAAAAGCCAGAGCTAGGAACGCCGAGGCCAGTATTGAAAGAGTTGTGGGGTTGGTAAGTCATTTGAGCAAGGCCGCCAGCGTCGAGACTCATGTTGACTGTGGCTTGAGTGGGCTCGGTTGTGTCTTGAGTCTTGTTATTTGAAAAAGGTACTCGGTGTTGAACGAGTTCGGTTCGGAGCGATTCAACACAGACGTGAGTTTTGGATCTCGGTTGTGTAAGCGGAACAGGTTCCGATTCGGAGGCAATGTGGCGTTGGAATTGTAGTGATGATGCAATAGGTAAGAGGCTGGGCGAACCTCGAGAAGAGTATGTCGAGGATGTCAATTAAAGCAAAGACAGAAGCCAGTATGAGGCAAAGATATTGAGGTGTCTGCTCGAAGACTCCAAGAGTTAGTGAGTTGAGAAAGATGGTGTGGTGAGGATGAAAATTCACCTTGAAGCTTGCAGGTCTTGCCGAAAGTGAATTCGATGGGAAGAGATGTGAATCTGAGGCAGGCAGGAATGATGGGAAGCCTGTAGTGAATGACTGATGTTGAACAATATTTTTGGAAGGCGCGGTAGGCGTTAGTCGGTGAAGGTAGCTTGTCCTGTGTTATGCCCAGCAAACTACAAGAAGTAGCCACCTAGAAGGGTATGGATGGAAGTTGTACGGAGGAGGGCGGAGCCGATTGAAGTATGGGGCGGATGGTGTACTCTCGGTTTTGGATGATTATGCTTGTGTGTGTGACCTTTTTGGCGGGTATGAGGGCGGGCCTCGAGTAACAAGCGACGTCAATGGCGACAATGAACGACAGCAGAGCGGCAGAAAGATATTAATTAAAGGATGATGATATCAATGACAGTCGTGGGATTAGATGGGAGGGAAGATAGAAAAAAGGAACAAGACGGCAGAGCGAGTTGGTGAAGAGAAGAAAAGATTAGGGATAAGTATAAAAAAAGCTGGTGCAGACAAAAGGTGAAGATGTATCAGAGATAGAGAGAGAGAGAGAGAGAGGAATAACTAGTGAAGGATGATGTTGCAGTAGAAAGTAAAGTAAAGTAACAGTAAGTAAGTAAGTAAGTAAGTATCGGAGTAGAAGAGGAGAAACAGACGGGCGAGAACCAAGGTACAAGGGGGAAAAGAGGCTAGGCGCCCAGCTGGAAAGGAATTGTTCGGCAGCTTCGGCAGATGATTGGCTTGTGCCTACTGCCGCTTGACTCTTCTGATCAGTAGACCAAGCGCTATGACACGCTAGGACCACGCTACAGATGGGGGCAAATTTGAAGGGGGGACGTTCGAGACGACACTGGTTTTTGTTTGTTGGAGAATGTCAGCCTACCAATTTCAATTTTCAATCATTCGTCTATCCTTAGTCCTCAGTCCTTAGTCCTTAGGGAACGGCATTGCGTGCGTCCATCTTTTCAACTCCAAAGCCACTTCTCAATTCTCATTCGATGCCACTCCTTCACACACTTCCACTTCCCCACGAGTTCTTCACCGCTCTTCGCTCCGAGATCGAATCAGGCCAGTCAAAGTTCCTAATCGTTGAACTACCTACCCCTCACTAACATTATCATCTGAATCTTCGCCATCTGTTTCGCTTATTCCTTATACCCATCAAATCGCCTGCCACCTGGTCGAAAAAAAAGAAACTCCCGGGCGCTTACGGATATGCAGGTCCTTGCCAAAGTGCGCTGTGATAGCTCCATCCGTCTTCGTGGCTGAAAGCGGGGCCTGTCAATCGTCCAGACTAAACGAAGCCCCCACCTGGAAAGTCTTGGGCATCCTCGGTGCCAGTCATACGCTCTGCTCTTGCCGACCTTTTCCATTCTTCTGCTCTTCATCTTCTCTTCAAAACTAACCAGTGTTTGGAGAATAGCGAGATGCAGGGTTTGGGGTCAAACACTGTCAAAGAATCCGACATTAGAGTGGGCGCAGCACCCTAATATGTGTTGTAACTAGCCACGTCGTCAATCTGTTCCGCCGTCGCAGGAGAAGCGAATACCCATTTACGGCGCCTCGCATAACCCAAATGGGCAAGCGATCCCTGTTCAACAGCAGCAACCTGTCAAAAATAGGTCTGAAACATCGGCACTTGGCATGCTTAGTGTCTATTGCTGATCTGTGGGGACCAGGCGGACTGTCTGCGGCAAGATGTTTTACACTTGGACAATCTCGTGTTTCATCCCTGCATAACATTTCGTATTGTTGCACATCTTACGAGGGGACCTCGGAGCTCTACTCTTTATATGTCGTTCCCGTCATCCGAAGCTGGTGAAGTCTGACCGATCCGCTGAGGGATTGAACCCAATGAGTGCCTGTAGCTTCATCTGCACTCTGTTCCCTTCGACGCGTCCGATCTCAAGATGACTCCGAGCATTGAGCGTCGGCGTGAGCTGACTATTGTGATACCTACATGATCCGAACGGCATTGGAAAAGTATTGATACAAGGGTGGATGTGAATGCGTGATACCCGCATCTCATATGAAGTATCCACTGGATTTCTCTTTTGCCTTTCTCATATCAGACAAGAATGCCCTGACTGGCAATCCTCGCTGTTGTAGCCCCCTCCAAGTCAAACTCTCATCCCGATTCTCGACGTTTTGTGCATCTGTTCCCACCTCCGCTTTTGCCTCTTCTGTAAGATTGGAATCCTTGAGAGCCTTCATCCTCATCTCCACGCACGTCACCGCTGCCTGGGGCTCCACAAGTAAAGCCAGGCCAGCTTGGCCTCGATCGGTCACCAGCGCTGCATCGACGATTGGACGCGACTCGATCATGCCTTCCATACTCTTCGGCAAGAAGGTCTCGCCCAATGAAGAGATGATGAGGTCTTCGGTCCGCCCGCGGTAGAGCTTTACATCGTCTTTGTTCAGGTGCTTTGAAAAGAGATCCTGGACTCTCCATTTCTCTAAGTCGGGGTGGACGTTGAAGATCTCCTCAAACGCATCGCCATTCTCCCGCCGCACTATTACGATCTCATACAAATCCTGACACACGGGCCGCATCTCGTACGGAAACAGGGAGGTGAAAGATATGTATTCCCAATCTTCTGGATCTGTGAGCTCGTTGGGATATATCCCGGTTCTCGTTGTTCAGTACAGCGTCGTCATTCTCGTCTTCGCCGCCAAAGTACCACCGATGTCGGAGGGGCGAGGCGCGCCGAGGTAGGCTAGACATTGCAATCGACCCAGATTTTCTAGCCAGCTCGGGTTCTGCGCCATCTCTCGGAGATGCTTGGGAGGAACGATGGTAAATTGCATATCTCTGTGCGTGTGTATCTAGTCTAGAATCGTAGCCGTCATCACCATCCATGACGGTGGCAGGGCGACCGTATAGTCATACACGATATTATATTCAAGAAGCTGATACAATCCCGCGGTGATCGAGATAGGCGCTGCGATCAAAGCTCGTAGGCCAAGGAAGAGGGCGTACGCTATAGCATTTCCTCCACTGTTTGAGCTGATCCTGCAGAAAAAGGAATAACGGCTCACGAAGGCTTCGTGGATAAAAGGATGGGTCTGGGAGGGCGAGTGGTGCCCGAGTAGTGTACGATGTTGAAGGGCTCGTTGCGGACTTCGGCGAGAGTATTTGAGAAGGGTATCGGTGAGACAGATTCCCCATTGGAGGTTGACAGGAAGGAGGAGACTAAAGGCACGGCTAATACGGTCATAGGCTGGGCTGAGAGGATAGGATAGACGACTGTGAACATGGGCTCGGCGAATAAGAGGGATTTACAGCCGGTGTGTTGCATGAGACAGAGGCAGGATTCGGCCACGGTTGCGGGATGGAATGTTCGAAGCTCTGGCATGACTTCTCGTCAGTCTATTCTCTTTCACCACGCACTCTTTCCCTCCAACATCAAGCTTCTTTTTCTTCTCGCTGGCGGACAACACGAACCGTATACTCCCCCCCTCCTTCACCGCCCCCAACATCAGCACCGCATACCGCACATCCTGCCGTCCCACATACGCCAGAGTCTTCTTCTCAGACCTCTCACACCGTCTCAACAGAGAAACGATCCACCACGCACATCTTTCCATTACCCTTGCAGAGTCGCTGTACGTGAACTCTCTGTATCCTCCGGAGAGGTCGTCGTCGTTGACGGGTAGCGATACGAAAGGCCGATCAGGCCTTGGAGCTGCGATCTCGTCGATGAGGGTTGGGAGCGGGTGGGTGCAACGGGCGTGGTGGAAACGCCCAGTCTTCTAGTGCCATTCTTTCTCGAAGAAATGGAGGGAAGCGAGTAAGATAGATGGGTAGGTAGGTGGGTAGGTAGGTGTACGCATGTGATACAGTCCTTTCCGGTGAACAAACAACGAAGACGAAAGATGGAAAGAGTGAGTGACTCCATCGATCGATCATGAAAGGAAATGTTGATCACAACAATATATAACACTGAAAGTTATTTCCATCATCAACCCCTCTCTCTCTCACACTCTCTCTCACACACTCTCTCTCTCTCTCTCTCTCCCCCTCCCTCTCTCTCCCTCCACAATTTTCGATCCTCGATAACATCACCTTCCCACTCGACAATCCCCAGATCTCACTCACCCACTCACCCACAGCCCTCAAGCCATATCCCCCAGCCTGCACGACGTAGCTCCTCCACTATCCTCTCCGCATCGCCGAACCGGACCGAAAGTCTCCGAATATCAATCCCTGCCTCGCGGCACAGGTACGTATGTATGTATGTATGTATGTATGTATGCTACATGCAGAGGGGGAAGCGGGGGTGGGCTGTGGGACTTTCATGTTGTCATCAGCTTCGAATGCATCCCATCGATACAGACGCCTCCTCCCATTTCAGATACACACCCGAGTCTACCCGCTACGCAGAGTGCGGCGATGAAGAGGGGTTGTTTCCATTCCGATTTTCGGTGTGTCGGCCGGGGACGCGGTTGTTGTTGGATAGACTCAGGATAAGGCAATGGGAATGGGAATGGGAATGGGAATTGGGAGGATTGACTATTTCGGGTGGATTGGAAATGCAGGGTGCCGGTGAGGCCGGAGGGAAGGGAGAAGAGAGGAGAGGAGAGGAGAGGAGGGGAGGGGAAATGAGAGATCTTCGCTGGGGAGGATTGATTGATTTATTGTGGATAGAGGCGGTTGGGTGTAGTGGTGATGTGATTTTTTTATATCATGGCAATTATTTCAGGTATAGCTCGGCTCTATCTATCTATCTACCTATCTGTATAGGGTGACCGTTTTTGGTGGTTGCTATTGGGTATACCGGCACCGCGTTTTCGTTTTTGAAAACAAAATGGAAAGACCTGTGGCAATCAGGCTTTCCAGCGGCCCATGGGAATACATTCGTACTCCAAGAAATATATAAAGTTTCTACCGACTGATTTCAAAGTATCTCATGAGTCATACTGACGTCCTTCTGCACACTAGTAGCATCCAGCGACACATCGTCACCCTCCGGATCGAACCCTCTTCCATCCTGCGCGTGGGTCGAAGAGGATGGAATCGCCGTCTTCGGCCCATCCGCAAACACAAGATTGTTCCCTGTTCGTCTCGGCGTCCCTATATCCGCGTATCCGCTTGTCCGTCTTGGGTTTGCCCTTGTGTAACGGCTGTTTGAGGAAGCGAGACGGGGGAAGAGGGGGCGGAGGGTTGGGAGGCAGGCGGATATGACGCCGCAGGATGATTAAATTTACCTTGGAGTACTGCGGTATGTTTCCGAGTGGAACAGCTGCCAGGTGTTCCCCAGATCCGAGATGTGTCATTTCCATCGAGAGAGTAAAGCATCCGAGGGTGAATGAGAGGGCCGCGAGACCATTGTAATCGTCGAATTCAAATTTCGGCTTCTGTATCCCCCTAGCGATGAAGCGACAAATGACTGCTATAAGTGGGAGGAGGACGAAAGGGATGATTGCTTTCAAGGGGACATCCTGCTGACTCGCTCGGAGGTCGACATTGGTAGTCGGTGTGGTCATGGTGGCGAAAAAGAGGATGTTTTGACGAAGGGTAAAAAAAGCACTCGGACAGAAAATAGTCAGGAGACTTGGTGTATAGAAATGAAACTTTATGCTGCCTATACTGGCTCTCCATCACACCATGCTGACAATGGAGGCTCAAATAAAGTGGAATCAAGGATTCGAGTGGAAGTGAGAGGTGAGCATCCTATTGTTCCTTCTTGTCTCCGTGGTAATGCCGAGTCTGAGTTCGTCGTCGGTGCCAGTGCCTCCTCCAGGATTACTCTTTCTCCCGGCTGCAGAACCAACGCCTCTTTGATCCTGCAGGATCAAAAGGCAATACTCCACAGTTGAGGGCAATCTGGATTGCCATTGGGCGAATCTTTTGACAGCCACCTTTTCCGGAGTGGTGAAGGTGGGGGCACTGGGGGAGGATGCGATGACTTTGGTCCCAACCCAATGATTATTGACCGCTTGTCGCTGCATAAATGTTAGCAGACGCACATATTGATCATATTGATACGCGAGATGATGGGACCTCGGACTTCCTTCCAAGCACCAAGACCTTACTTGGCTGGAACCCCTGGAACGTGCCGTAACCGAACAATATATTACCGCTTTCCTCTTGCAGCATCATCATCATGTCCATTTTTCAACGATAATAATAGAACTCCACACTCCGAATGGGTGGAACTGGTAGCATGCGCCATGGTGGAAGGGCCGAACCTGAAGTCTTGGGATCACTTCCTGCCTGCTCGCAACGACTACCATCTGGGTCCCTGCATGTCTCATCCTCCGACATTCGCGCTTAAACACAATCGCTCAAGCGCTAGCTGCAGCTTCGATCAATCGAACAATTGTTGGCACCTGTGTTAGCCAAGCACTGTGACTCGAATCCGTCTTCTCGATCTTCCACGGTTTTCCAGATTCTTTGGTCACATCATCAAGCATTTTCTGTTGAAGCCAGAAGTACACCCCTTGATCCTTCTCGCACATGATATACGTGCAGGGTACCAAGCCGCTCTCCCAAGCCACTGAATCGACTGTAGATGCAAAGCTCGCAGTGGACTGAGGTTGGAATTGCGAAGTCCAAGGTTCAGCGACATCCGGGGAGACATCGTTGTAGAAGACGTCTTTGGGATCTTTGACGAGCAGAAAGCTCGAGTCTTGTGGCTGTTGTAAGAGTTAGCAAACGCGTCAAAGTCCTTTGACAATTATACGCGATATGCTGTGACTTACATCAGGGTAGAGGTAGGTTGGTGCTTCATCAAACATTCCTATAAGGCTGCCGCCCTTGGGCACCAGGAAAGCAGCGACGAAAAGGCAATGGATGATGCCGCCTTTCTCGCCCTTCCCCTGACGGGCAGCGGCTTCCAGCCCATGCACTGCGTTTGTTCCTGCCACGCCTCCATATGAGTGCATAACGAGGATGACGACCTTGCCTTCTGCCACGATCAAGGACTCCAATGTCTTACGGATAATAGCGGTGTCCTCTAAATGCGTGGTCACGGCATTGCCTGAACTCTTCATTTGCACTGCCTCAGTGGGGTAGGAGAGCTTCTTGAGCTCAGCGCGAGTAGAGTCCCAGCATGAAGCATTATGCCATGCTCCGTGGACAAGGAGAACTGTGGGCTTTTCGGTTGAGCGGGACATGGCTTTAGTTTCTCGGATGTAGACTCAGAGGTGGTGATTGCCTTCGAAACCGTTTGGGGAAGACTAGCACTAGCCGGCAGGAGAAGGACGTAAAGCTGGGGTTGATGTTTTCAAGTGGAGGAATGAGAGTGTTAATGTGTAGGATTCGGGCATCGACTACCGGAGGATGCCTGCACCGTACTGGGTACCCCACCTTAGGAAGCCGCACCTAGACAATTTGTTTATGCACCATGAGAGGCGCGGGCGCGGGTCATCCAACACTCAACGGGCGATTGGCATGCATCACTTACTCTTCTTGCTGCACGTCGACAAATCCTTGCTCACTGAAGGTCTCCGAGAGGCGAGTTACCCATCTATGATAGAATCGTTAACAGGAATCTTGATTGGGCATTGCCAAACACTAGACTTACTGGCCCGCTTTACTCGCGAAGAGCGCTTTATTGAGCTTATCCATGCTGTCATTCTGAACGTGCGGCAGCAATTATGGTGGTAAAGAAGTTATGTTCAGACCATTGAAGATGTCCTCCAGGCTCTGATTTGACTGGTCAGTCGAAAATAGGTTAAGAAGCGGTTTCTGGAATCGGTCTGAAGCCATCTGACCGACGAGAGAGACCCACTTAGCATCTTCGGGGGGTTCTCGGAACTGGTATTGGATTTTTGTCCCTTAGGACACAGATAAACAGCCGAACATTGATTGACGATATGTCATACTTCTCCGCTAGATCTGCCGGCAAGGGCGAGTAGACATCAAGCCTGCGAAGTGAGATGCTCTTGGGTAGCCATTCTTGAGGCGGGCATTGGTCTAGAAATATATCGACGGCATCAATTGCTGCTTCAGAGTGCGGGTAACTGATCGGATAGGTCATGTTCTGCCATCCCATGTCAATGCTTTGGATCAGCGGCAGAAGCTCAGATGTTTAGAGAACGAAAAGGCATACTTACGATGTGTCAGTTCCCACGTCTGCAACCCTTATACCTTTTCCATGCTCATGAATTGGAACGGAAGGGTGAATGTTGTAGCCCAATGTATCCCCCCCCCAAGTAGTCTGATGCTGGAGATTCAACCTCGCAACAACCACTTAGCACAATGCACTTTTCAAGTCGAGTAATTTTACCTGGTAGATGAGGCGTAGGTCCTAGTGAGACCATACCCATCTTCGGGCAGAGTGATTGCTGGCTTCAATTCCATCAGGATTCGTGAGAGAGACGGGAAACTTGTAAATACAAGTGGCTTGCAGTAGCGGGGAAAGCAAATTGTAAGACATCTCGGCTAGGCATCCACACCTCCTGAAATAAAGATAATACTATACATAAGACTACGCACAGCGATCGGAGAAGAGGAAAATGATGACGTTGACTCTTTTCTCTCGGAGGATTTCGTTGCATGGCCTGAGGATTGATTCACGATCCTTTGGTGATCCTTCCTCGCCAGAAATGCAGGCACCCGACTTATTCTCCTAGGTAGTCTAAGCAGCCTATTGGCACTCAGGGCTCCGACCCCTTGGACACATTTCAGCTCGCCATCTAATGAGGGTCTGCCTTAGAAAAAGACGTCGCGAAGGATTGGTTCAAAGCAGACCCGATTCCATGCATATAGTAAATTTTTCGTCCTTGTCTATGTAGAGCATCTCTCCTTTTTGCTGTGTGAGCCAAAATCTCCGTGGACCTCTTATTATCTTTGGGCAAGTAGGCTTGCAGACAAATTTTCTTTCGTCTTCACGCTACTATTGAGAACGTGGAGGGAACACCTCATTGGCTTCAAAGATCGTCAATATGGCGGTCCCCTCGCCAGACCAGCTCGACGTACATAGTCTCATATCCCAACTGCAAGCCGCTTAAGACAGCTCGACCGTTTCTCATAGCGACAGCGCAAGACTTCTTCGCGCAGCACGGAACCTAGCCATAACACCCGAGTAGCCAGCGAACAGGCTTGTGGCAATTGCCAAAGGGCCTGCAGCACATGCAGCGCTCAGGGTAGCCTGAAGATCCAGCTGTTCGAGGCCTTCGATACAGAGAGAGCAACAGCAGAGGAACTGGCGCATCGATGTGGCATCGATCCTCCACTGACGGCGCGGATCATGAGAGAGTTACTCTGCATTGGCAATTCTAACGAAGATGGGGAGGAAATTTATGCCCAGAATATCATGTCGAACCTTTTTGATGAAACCAGGAGCAAGGGCAACGATCAAGGAAATGACCGAAACGACAAATATAATGCCCAAATTGACAGATTACCTCACCTCACTCAATTATCGAAACCCGAATGATCGGCGTGACTCTTTCTTTGGCTTCGCACATCGCACAGAACTGAATGTGTAAGAGTGGCTGCAAGCTCATCCCGAGCAGATGAAGATGTTCAATGATTTCCAATCAGCGAATGCACAGTTGAACGAGGGGACTGTACAACGCATTCTCAAGTCTCTCCCTTGCATCCGACGATAGCCTCAAAAATAAACTCTGGCCTGTCCGAACAGAGCAATGACAAGGTGCTTGTTCGTCGACGTGGGTGGCGGCCGTGGGAAATCATCAAGGACGTTCCGCAATGACCATCCCGAGCTCAATGGCAGGGTTGTCATAGAAGACCTTCCCCAGGTAGCTGAGGGCCAGGAGGGAGTGGAAGTTATCGCGCGCGATTTCTTCGCTCCGCAGCCTGTCAAGGGTATGCAACATCTTTCAAGAAGCCTGGGCAAGCTTTGCCTTCGATTGTCAAACGTTTCTTTCTACACTTGGCCCCTGGATAATCCTCCCTTCCGAACCCTCTCTACCTTCCAAACGTCCAACTGTCTCACCACAACTATACTCACCACAGCCCCAGGAGCAAACATCTACTTCTTCCGCTTCGTCTTCCACAACTGGCCCGACAGCGCGTGCCGCGAAACCCTCCTCCACACCATCCGTGCCATGACGCCTACCTCTCCCCACTGCCGTCAAGACTCATCATCAGCGACCTCCTCCTCCCAAACACCAACGCGGCCCCTTTCGAAGCCCCTCACGGACCTGCAAGTGATAGCCTTCGGCGGCATGGAGCGCACAGAGAAATAATGGCGGAAATTGCTAGAGGGAGCAGGGCTGAAGATAGAGAGGTTTGTGAAGCCGGAACCCGGGGGGGGCAGATACCGGAGTGTGTGATTGAGAGTGTGGTGGCGGAGGACGACGAGGGCAAGGGCAAGAGGGAAGGGGGGAGGGGGGAGCGTGCTTTGACCTGAGCCACGACGAGAATCTGGGATATCACATCGTGGCATGGACGTCAGAGGGTTTGTCACGTCACTCCCACCGTCCGTCTTCTTCCTCTGCCGGTGTATGTCGCAAAGCCCATGGCCATTTCTTTCCTTCTCTGCAGCATCATCCAGCGCTCGATCCTCCACACCAAAAGCTTTTCTCCGATTGGAACCAGTTTCCCCCCCTCGATACGCCGTCTCCCACCCGCAACCCCCCACACCTTCGCAACCCCCCACAATAGTCCCAACGAAGCTCGCCAGACACCCTCCCTCTTCCCCAACCCCCCCAAAAAAGAGCAAACCCATCCAACCCATCTCCCATCTCCCATCGCCCCCCATCCCTCCCATCCCATCCCATGACCCAGCCCCAGACTTCCTCCTCCTCTCGCGCTCGCAAAAAGACCCTCTCACGCCCTACCCCCTCTGCCGGAAACGAGTGCAAGTGTTTCGGTCGCCAGCAAAAGCAGGGAGAACCCCTCCCCTCCCCTCCCCTCCCCCGCCGCGCGATAGCTGCACGTACTACCTCGGACCATGGAACCGCAGTGCCGGATGGGAAGGGAAGGGAGTGCGTCGGCTGCATGCGTGGGGGGGGAAAGAATGGGGAGGAAGGAAGGAAGAAAGAAAGAAAGAAAAAAAGAAGAAAAGAAAGAAAGGAACGACAGAAAGCGAAAAAAACAAAAAAAAAAACAACCCTCAACCAGCGGCCACCCCTGGATCTGCATCCCACCGCGCCTTGTGCACCTCAAGCGCGGGATGCGGTGTCCCAAACGACGACGGGATGCGGTGTCCCAAACGACGACAGGATGCGGTGTGATGTCGTCTGCAGTGACGAACTACATCCATCGAACAGAGGACGCGGGGGACGACGGGGGCGAGGGAGGCGGTTGTTTAATGATTGTGGGTATGGAGACGTGGCTGGGGCCGGGGGGGTGGAAAAGGATGGGTACGGTTTTTAGGTGGGGGGTGGGGGATTGAGGTGGTGGAATCACAAGGGCCCGGTCGATATCTGTGTTATGTCCTGGGCGCGCGAGGGTGGGGAGAGCGTGGATTCGGAGAAGAGGGAGGGGGGAGCGATGGGCTGGGATGGAGTAGTGATGGGATCTGTAAAGAAGCTCGAGCTGGGCTTGTCGGTCGGTCGCGGGTGAGGTGACGGGGGTGACGGGTTTTGGCTTTGGCGTGCACGATGGGGATCGGGGTAGGTGTTTGTGGAGGCGTTGGTTGTCCGGCAGAGGCCGTCGTCCTCTTCTTCGTTGAGGCTTTTCTCATACCACCATCCTATTCGCACCGTGATGGAGAGTACCACTACTAGTTCGTAAACGGAAGTTGAAGTGGAGGCTTGAAGATTTAATGGGCAATGCTACGCGGATTCAGGGAGGGACAGGCGGAGTGTGCTGATCGATGGTAGCTGAGGATAAGAGTAGTAGTGGGGGATTCGTATGTGGAAACCGGTACTTGGAGCAAAGCGACAGACTCTCAACGAACCGGCATCGAAGGACAAGATGCGAGGAAAGCGGTAAGACGGAGGAATCGTAGTATGCAAATGCAGAAGCAAGACCAACTTTTTGGTGCTAGCTAGATTCAATCTGGGACATGGAGTACGTATTCGTATCCGGGTTTGGAACAGGCAGGTAGGTAGTATTGACCGAACGGCGCATTGCATGAAATCCTTCGTGACCGCTCGCTCCGGCAGGTGAAATGATGCAAAGGTATACTGAGTGCGGTACCTTGGTAGAGAAAGGACTCGGAGATACGAGGCGAGATTGGTTTCGTATTCGAGTTGGTTCGTATTGAGATTGCATCGTGGAGATCGCTTGAGCGCGACGCCAGGATGGCGTGGGAGGGGATTGAAGTAAAGCAGGAGAAACTGCGTGGGTGATCTGGAGGTTAGCTAGCTGTGCCTGCTGAGTTAGACCCGTATTGCAACCAAATTCACAGATCACAAGCACAAAAGGAAGTAAAGCAAACGCATGTTGTCAAACCGTAATTGTCATCTCTACATATCCCAGATCCTTGCTCTCAAAAATTGTCTTCATCCCCAATTCCCCCTCCGGGCCAGTCTGAACGGTAAACCTTGTAAGCTTTCCACCGCAGACGTAACCCTTTGTTGCGCCCTTTCAATGCAAAACACTTACGAACCCCAGCCAGATCATCCTCCTCAACCCCTTTGTAAAATCGTATATCCAAAGCCGCCCACCCCTGTAAGTCATGTCATTGCGTCTGCGTCTGTCAAGGGCAGGACGCGTGCTGGTCGCGGGCCTCTGATAAGGCTGGTATCATCGCAAAAGCAAAAGATAATCAGTCGTGATTATGGTGTATGTTTGCGTTGTTTTGTACAAGTCATAGGTAGAGATGACGAATCTCATAGATAGTGGATACTTCTGATTGGGGAGATGATGTTGAGAACTTGCTGTGAAAATGGATGGACGCCAGGAGAACAGATGGGTTGGTGAATAGACCTCGTCGTATTTCTGAGTAGTCCAGCAGAAATGAGTTTCGAGAAAATTCGGACCGTCTGGCCAGACGTGGCCTCGTGGCCTCCCAACCCTTTCGTGCAAATGAGACAGTGTCAGCGACCCATCTCAAGGAGAGTGAGGGCTCGACTCCTTGGGACGCAGATTTGATGAGCCAGTTGAGGCAGAGGCCTTGGGTCCCATCTTCCTGGTCAATTTTGCGTAATCTGGAAACTGTCAGCAATCAGTAATTCAAAGAAATGGAGTAACAGCATACGTAGACCACAAGCGTTGCACAGCGTCCTCGCACCATCAGGCCCACGCCTCCACTCCGGCGTCTCGGCTCTGTTGCAGCTATGGCACCTACCCGGCGGTGCCGCTCTGCCTCTTCTCTTCTTAGCATCGGCGCCAGCGAAACCACCAGAACCTTCAAGCTTATCAATGTAGGAGTTGGATTCATTGTCGTCAGCTTCACTAGGAGCAGCTTTGTAATTCTGCTGATCGTAGTTTCTTTGCTCGACGAGAGCTTGTTGCTGCTTACAAATGACATCTCTAATACGAGACATAGCGTCGAGGACTTTAGTTTGCTGTCGGATTATCTCATCGCATTCGGTCAATGATGGCAATGAGCCGGGGACAGGGCCTGAGCGATGCGTCTGATGGGCACGGGTGCCGAAAAGACGAGAGAATTCTAGTCCACGGCCACTTCCTTCGGCAATCTGGGATCGGTTAGAGAAAACTGATGGCAAGGGACGCCGATGGATACTGACCTCATTGAGGGACGTCTCTAGATCAAAATTGTCGAGATGGCGCTTCACAGACTCCCCATAAGCTGGTCTAGGTGGCGATGTCTCCTTGGCGGTCGCTTTTCTCATCTCATCGACTCGCTCAATCTCTGGTGCAGTACTCCGCCATGCAGATGGTGGTAGCGTTGGCGTCCGATACGAGGAGACTCCAGGCGTTGACGGAGGATAAGAGTAAGCGGGCTGATAATTGTTCACGCTGTATCCGAACGGAGCGTTTGACATAGGTGGTGGAGGAGCAGGGCGAGCGATCTTCTCGTGCATAGGAGATGGTGGGATGTAATTTTGTTGTGATTGAATGGGTGAAGCACCAGGTCGTGAATAATGTAGAGGACTTGATATCGTTCTAGGTGGTGGTGGGACAGGTTGATGTGAGTCCAAGGGAGGCATCGCTGAAAATCGACTTTCCCCCAAAGGGGCTGTCATGTGAGGAGAGTAGTTCGATCCACTGGAGCGATCGGACGGCTGCGGCGGACGGTAAGATGCAGAAGTGTGCTGTGGAAACGAATCGGGAGGACCTTTTGGAAAAGTGTCTAGGTACGATCTCCCAACCGGGGTTGTAGGACTTTTTGGTACCAATGAAAACTTCGGCTGTGGAGTGGTCGAAGAGAGCAGTGAGGATATGGATATCGGCTGCTGTTGGTCCCCCGTCAGTGCTTCTGATATCGATGGCAAAGACTGCCGTTGAGGAGCAGGTAGATGTTCTTTATCGTCTCCAGATATCCGACGGGTATCTGCCTGAGAGTTATAGTTTCCAGCACCAGCAGCGCCAGGGCCACTTCCACTGCTACCCACCACTGAGCTAGCAGCCGAAGAAGGATATGAATACGGAGGAGGTGGACCAGAGTAGATGGAGGGACTGATGAGCGGTGGCGCAGGCATGTGGAGGGCCGAGGTGATGGAGATGTTATGATTGTACGGGTTTTCTCTTTTGACCTTCTCCATATCCAGATAAGTGATCGGAGGCAAAGGACCACTGTGATCTGGTTAGCATGTGATGTTCTCTCCAGGTGCAACAACGTCGAATGATCAGGGCAATCGTGAGGACTGACCTTTGGGATACTGTGTCGGCCATTGCGTGCGATCCGCAAAGCTGGATGTGAGATGGGTTGGACGACGTTCTCTCCAGGATTGCGCCGACGTCCCTCGGCTTGTTTATGTAGATCTGCCACCGGTTTCCCCTTGTGTTGCAGCTGTCGCTGGCCGCCAGCTGAGCACAAACTGGAATCTACGCGGGTTTAACCGCTACGGCAAACGGAACACCCGGTGGTTTGGAGGGAACACTTCGGTCTGTTGTCACTGATTGCGCTTTGGATTGCTCGGAAGTTTTCTCTCTCGATGGATGATTTGTCGAGTGTTCGGGCAGTGAGTTTTGTGTCAAACGGTTGAGAAACGTGTTTCCCGATCTTCAGGCAAGATGTCACCGATTAAGTTTTGACCGCCACAATTGAACGGGTCTTAGTAGAGAAGAAGTCAGATGGCGGAGGAGACGGGAAGGATGGACGTTGTGAATGGGTGCCTGGTCACTGCAGCAGGATGATAAGTAAGTAGGTAGGAAAAGAGGCAATTTG